ATCGGCCAGATTCCCAGGATCTGTTCATGATTCGGCCATTTGGCAAGTCAGTCACATAAAAAATTATTTAAGACAAGAATATGAAAGAGGGGATACATCAAGTCATTTGATAGGTAAAATTATAAAATAATTCAGTAAAAATATTATAAATTTCTTCCATTCTCAATCCCCAAAACCGACAAGAAGAACAGTTTAATACGCTACATATTTTATGTTATCAAAAATCTCTAAACCTTCCCCATATAGTTATTAACTATATGGGGAAGGTTTAGAGATTTTTGATAACATAATATATTTCAACCCCCATTTCGAGGAACGATGGATCCAACTCAAAAAAAAAAAAAAAAACGCTACATATTTCTACAAGAAATGTGATCGAAAGGACAAATGGCATTCTTAAGGGCAGGTTTCGCTGTTTGTCTCGATTCAGGTCATTAATGTACCATCCAGTGAAGGAAATCGGAAAGTGGCTTAACCCTGGTGGGGTAGCTTCGACGGGATTCTTGTTTTGGCTTGGCGGTACCGGTTGATCCACCAGGTGTTTCATCTAATTTTTGCTCAATGTTTTCTGTTAAAACATAATCTAAACTTAGTAAAATAGCCTCAGGTTCTGTCATATTTATATCGTTTTCTAGTAAAATAACTTCTTCACCTTCCGCACTACAGGTAGCAACAACCGTATGAGGCAAACCTAATCCCTCGTAGGGAGTAACATTTGCCCCAACCACAGTAAAGCTCCCAAAAACATTTAAACCCCGCTCTTCTAGAGGGGTCAATTGTACATTTAATTTTGGTCCACCACCTGTTTTGTGTAAATCTTCGGTTATTAATCGAGATTTTTTCTTAATTGCGTATTTCCAGTCTTGAAATCGCTAAAATATTAAATTAATATTTTAATTGCATTGTATTAGTATTTATAATATCACATACCTTTTTCCACTCCTCAACACTTAACTCGGGCCCTGTTCCCATGGAATTTAAATCGTCCTTTAACTTTTCCCACTTTTTTTCTAAGTAATCCTGGTCAAGTGTAGGATTGATGGTATTACTGCGGAACACATAATCATTTTCCATCTCCTGTAAATACCTTTCGAATTGTTCTGGAGAAGTATTTTGAGAACGCTTCCTTTTTTTGCCGATAGGTATTTCACTTTAAAATAACATCAATTAAAATAATTAAATTAATATTAATTTTTTTATTTACCTCATTTTGCGTGGTACGAAACTTATGAAAGAATACGAAACAACAAACAGCTTTAAGGAAAACTTGAAAAAAGTAACCCCCCCTCCCCCGAAATTAAGCACTGATAGATTTTTTAAAAATAATAATCTTCCTACAATCGTTTATGAATTAATCATTCCTTATTTCCCAAAGATCTGACCATTCTCTCCGAGGAAACCTTAACTGAATTCCAGTCTTTAGTATCATTTTATAAAGATGATTTGACAGGAACTATAGATGAGCGAGTTGCCGAACTTAGACTGTGGTATAGAGCAATCGCCAGATTGCCAAATGAAGATCGACCCAGAGATAGTGCTTTACAACACGTTACAGACACCTTTACAAATATTAAGGTATTATTTGATATATTAGCTACATTGCCTGTCTACTGCGGAAGGCGAACGTAGTTTTTCAACTTTGAGAAGACTCAAAAACTATTTAAGAAATAGTTTTTCCGAAAACCGACTAAATGGCTTAACTCTTCTAAACATTTATAGAAACATGACCCCTTCTGTGGAAAATATTTTAGAGAAATTCGCACAGAAACCTAGAAAATTAAAACTTAGTTTAACTTAATATTTTTAGTCATAAATAATTTCTTTTACGTTCTGTTTTGTTTTTTTCGGACATAGTGTAAGTGTAACTGTGTAATCTTTTGTTTATTAAAAATATAATTTGTTAACATTTTGGATTTACTAATTTCAATAACCCCCACCGAATTTTTTTGCTGGATGCGCCACGGTGTAGGTCAATCAAATTATCAAATATATAGAGGAAGAAATGTTACCGTTGCACACAGTAGAGAAACGATCTTTTAGAAATCTAATTACTGGTTTATCCACTTACGGATCCCCATGTAGAAAATATTATAAAGGAATGGCTTCATATGTTAATTTGTTTGAGATTACGAGAAAAAGTGTGAGGTGTGAGTCCTGTAGATGACATTATAAGAGGTAATACTATCACTTTATTTTGCTTCCAGATTGATCTAATTTCGGCAGCCAGCGGCTGATATTTCTCCATCTTTTCATTATATTTATCTTTGATGTTTTGATCTGTTGGTATGGCTATTTCTATGAAGTATGTTATCTTTTCTTTTTTGTCTGTGAGTGTGATGTCAGGCCTGTTGTACTTGATTGTTTTGTCTGTTAGTATGGTTGTGTTCCAGTAGAGTTTATGTTTGTCATTTTCGAGTATTGTTGTTGGTGTGTATTATTATTATTATTATTGCTATTATTTTTCATTTATTGAATATGGCCGTGATTACTTCTACCCCTTTTTCATGCCTTTTCTTTTGTTTCAGGTTGTATGTGAAAACCTAGTGCTCTGCCAATAAAACAAAAAAACTGTGATGTGATTGTGATAAATAAAACTACTTTACCATAACAATTGTTACAAAAACTTACCTGTGAGAATGGATTATTCAAGTGACGATTCCCTTATGGACCCCGATTTTGTTCCTGAGGATATGTTCATGTCGTCTCCCGACACATCTGAAAGCGAAGAAGAGGTTCCCGATACAAGGCTGGTGGAGTCTCCAAATAATGGAAATAATATGCCCAGCGCTTCTGGAAGTACTATTCGAACAACTGCAACCTCGTGTGGACCAGAAATTAGCAAAAATGGTTTGGCAACATTGTACGCCGCAAAATGTCTCAAAATTTGATTTTACATCTGACTTCATGAGTGGTATGAAAACAATATACCAGGGAATATTTGCAAATTGGGGTCCAATAGACTACTTTGATATGTTCTTGACTAGCGACATTGTGACATTGATTGTAGACCAAACAAATATATATGCTACTCAATACCTTTTGAGCATGGACGTAGCAAAAAATGCCAGGGTACATGCTTGGGTGCCAGTTGATGTTCACGAAATGATGAGATTCTTAGGTCTCCTAGGATGGATGGGTCTTGTCAAACTACCATCGCTTCGCGATTATTTTGGCGGATAGATGCACTTTATAATATCCCATTAGCACGATCTGTTATGCCAAGAAACAGATTTGAGCTAATTCTAAAATTTATACATTTCTCCGACAATCAGTTAGCTCCTCCAGATGATCGGCTATTGAAAATACGAAATGTCATGAATAAATTCATACATAATTATAAAATAGCCTACACTCCTGGACAACGTGTTTGCATAGATGAAAGCCTAATACCGTGGCGAGGTCGCCTGATGTTCAGGCAATATATACCAAACAAACGACATCGGTATGGAATCAAAGTTTTCAAATTGTGTTCAGACAGAGGATACACGTGGAATCTCATGGTATACTGTGGAAAAACAACAGACAGAGAAAACAGTGTGGCTGAAAGTGTCGTTATGGAGTTAGTGGATGGACTACTGGATCAGGGAAGAGTTCTCTATACTGATAACTGGTACACCAGTGTACCTTTGGCGTATCGTCTACTTGACAGAAAAACGCATTTGGTTGGGACCCTCCGTCTCAATAGGAAGCACTTACCTAAAGAAGTGGTAGGCGCGAAGCTGCAAAAAGGGGAGTTTGCTGCTCAAGAAACCAGCGATGGCGTAGTTGTTCTGAAGTGGAGAGACAAAAGGGTAGTGTCTGCACTCACTACAAAGCACTCTGACTTAGACACCGTTACAACAACGACTCGAAGAGGGCAGCAAACGACCAAACCGGCATGCATTATTGATTATAATACCGGAAAATCAAGTATTGATTTGAGTGATCAAATGGCATCCTATGGAACTGCTCTGCGCCGCTGCACCAAATGGTACAGAAAGTTGTTTATTGAAATTCTGTGGGAAACAAGTGTGGTAAATGCACATTTCCTATACAATAAATACACCCTCAAAAGGGAAATGAAGATCACGGACTTTCGTGAACACATTAGCAAGTTGTTCGACCAATCTCTTCGCCTACTGTAGCAGCAGGGCCGTCAAGAACTACTAGCAAGCATAAATTAATACCTAAAATGATAGGAGATCCTCCCAAGAAAACCAAAGGCCGCTGTGTAGAATGTTATAAAGTGTATGGGCGCAAAGGGAAAGTGGTGGACGGGAAACATACCTTTGCAACGCAAACCCAAATCTCGATTTGTAAAGCATTTCTTTGTTTGAAATGCTTCAATAAAATTCACTAAGAACATTGTACTCGTTTCGTTTCATTTTTATACAGTGTGTAATATTTTTTTATTTTTTATGCAATTTTTATGTTGACCAGAATAAATATTTTTTTTAAATTCTTAGTCATTTTTCAAACTTCAATAACTCTTGACTTATAAACCTCACCGTGAACCCAGAGGTACCGCTACAACCGTAGAGGCCAGTAGTATTCACTTCGATAATGAAACATATGACGGCGTGTTTCCTATAAGACACACAAGCCTGCGAGTAACAGCTAGTGCGTGCGCTTGTGGGATACACATGGCTCCACGCAACTACCTACTGTGTATCCTCAGGAATACACATGGCGGTCAACGTGTTAATCTACAAGAACTGTTCAAAATGACAACCCCCCGCTCGGATGCAAGAATACAATCTTCTTCTCATCGACTCACTAACTCTTTCAAATTATCCAATTACTCAAATCTTCCAAAAAAACAAAGGTCTTTACATAGACCATAGCCAGCTATCAATTAGCGAAAACCTGAAGTTTAGTGGCCCATCAGGGGTCGATATCTCGGTCGATTTATAAACGCATTTTCATATAAAACCGACATTCATAAATTATTGACTTGAATATATATATATATATATATATATATATCTTAATATATATAATTCTTCTGTGAGTGTGTTTGTTACTGAACTTCTCTTCAACGACTGGACCGATTTTGATTAAATTTTTTGTGTGTGTTCAAGGGGATCTGAGAATGGTTTAGATTCACAATTTATAGTGGCAACATTACTTTATTGCTAATTATTTGTTTCGCGTGCAATGAGAGGCAATCAGTCAGTTAAGTTAAAAGAATACGCGAGCGACGTCTTCTTCAGTATACTGTTGCCTTGCCAGCGTCTCATCTATAAATAGAACGCGCGCAAGCAACGAAATTAAATTCGTGCGTTTCCGTCTTCGTTCGTAAACGGGCATTGGTCGCGAGGTTTTGTACTGGCCGTTGGATGTTTTGTTATCATTGTGTTATTGTGGAGAGTGTTTTGAGAAGAGTTGTGAAGTGTATCTAAAATTAACATAAAATAGTGCAGAATCGAAGTGAGTATATTTCTTATAATTGTTTTGGGCGTCATTAATGTATGACTGTTTCACTCATTTTTGTTATGTATTATTTTACAGTATTTTCCTTATACAGAAAAATGCCACGTCTTCGTGGAAGAGCAAAAAACATTGGTCGGCGTACTCGGACCGCCCAATTAGTCCATGAGCGTCGGTTAAATAGATCAATTGAAGAACACTCAACGGATAATGCAAATGTAAGAGATCAAGTTGCATGTTCACGAGCAAATGAGAATGCAGAACAACGCGTTCAACGTCTTCATGCTAATGCATTGAGACAACGAGAGGCACGTCAACGAGCTACCGACGCACATAGAGACCATCATCATCAACAAGTGCAACATAATCGAGCATTGTCACGAGCATCATTTAATCGTCTTGCGTTCGAATATTTTCCTGAAATAGATTATTCGTCACATGCACTAATCACGATAGGTAGTATGGACAAAGAGTGTCAATATTGTCATGCTTTCAAGTATAAAGGTGAATCAACTGGTTTATGTTGCGCATCTGGAAAAATTTCACTGCCATCGCTAAATCCACCACCGGAACCTTTAAAAACACTTTTAGCCGGAACCACATCTCAATCGAAATTGTTTTTGCGAAAAATTCGTAAATTCAATTCATGCTTCCAAATGACATCATTTGGAGCAACAAAAATTGTTCATAATGAAGATGGTCGTAATTTTGAATCTACATTCAAGATTCAAGGTCAGGTGTACCACCAAATTGGTTCATTGCTTCCAATGCCTGGTGCCGATCCAAAATTTCTACAAATTTATTTTATGGGCGATGAGGAGCAACAATCACATACACGCTGCCTTTACAACCATATAGAGCGGATGGAAGAACGAGAAATTGTGGATAATTTGCAAACGTTTTTGCAAAACAATAACCAATTGATACGATTGTTTAAGACTCTTTCTAACAGACTGCAAAACGACAACTACGTCATTGTCATTAAAGCAGACAAAGTGCCCTATGGAGAGCACGCAGGCACATATAATGTTCCAACTATTAATGAAGTTGCAGTCATTATGGCTGGTGACCCATGTGAACGTCGAGATATTCGCATACAACGCAGAGATAATACGATGCAAATAATTCAAGACAATCATCGTTCTTACGATGCTTTGCAGTACCCGTTGATATTTTGGGAAGGAGAAGATGGATATCATATCAATATTAAACAAAGAAATCCAACTACAGGTACAACGTATAAATTATCTTAAAATTATTTTATTTTAATTAATAATTTCTGTTAATCTCATAATTATATTTATTTGCAGGTGAAGAACTGAACAAGACAGTTAGTGCTATGAACTACTATGCATATCGACTAATGATTCGTGCCAATGAAGATAATGGTATTCTCCGATGCAGACAGCTATTCCATCAGTACATTGTCGATATGTATGTAAAAATCGAAAGTGAGAGATTACGATACATAAAATTTAATCAAGCAAAACTTCGTGCTGATGAGTACATTCATTTACGTGACGCCGTAATCGGCAACGTAGATGCAACGAATGACATCAACAATATTGGTACCGCATATATTCTCCCATCATCATACACTGGTAGCCCGCGTCATATGCAGGAATATATTCAAGATGCCATGACTTACGTACGTGCATACGGCCGACCTGATCTTTTTATCACATTTACGTGTAATCCAAACTGGGATGAAATCAAAAGTTTACTGTTGCCAGGTCAAACATCGATGCACCGTCATGATGTCACTGCACGTGTATTTAAACAAAAATTGAAATCTTTGATGAATTTGATTACACATTACTCGGTATTTGGTGAAACGCGTTGTTGGCTTTACTCTGTTGAATGGCAAAAACGAGGTTTACCTCATGCGCATATTTTAATTTGGTTGGTGGATAAAATACGCGCAGAAGAAATTGACAAAATTATTTCAGCGGAAATTCCAGATCCGAATGTTGATCCAGAATTGTTTAACATTGTTACTACAAATATGATCCATGGTCCATGTGGCACTCTAAACATGATGTCGCCATGTATGGATAATGGAAAATGTACAAAACGTTTTCCAAAACCATGTGAAACTGATACTATCACCAATATGGACGGTTATCCATCTTATCGACGTAGAGACGTAGACAATGGTGGTCAATCATATGAATTGCGTCTGTCAAATGGTGTGAGAGTAGATATTGATAATCGCTGGGTAGTTCCATATTCGCCATTGCTGTGCAAAACCTACAAAGCGCACATAAACGTTGAACTATGCAGTTCGGTTCAGTCAATCAAATACATTTGTAAGTATGTTCACAAGGGTAGTGATAAAGCTATATTTGCTGTTCAAAATGTAAACGACAATGACGAAATAACACGTTATCAAATGGGTCGATACATAAGTAGCAACGAAGCTATTTGGCGCATTTTTACGTTCCATATACATGAAAGGGATCCTGCTGTTATACATTTGGCTGTGCATCTTGAAAACGGACAGCGTGTTTACTTTACAGAAGAAACTGCACTACAACAGGCTTTGACGGCTCCAAAAACAACTCTTACTGAATTCTTTAACCTTTGTAGTCGACAAAATGCTGTTGGTCAATTCGCAAGGACGTTGATGTACACTGATGTTCCTAAATTTTTTACATGGAATAAACAATCAAAGAATTGGGAACCGCGGAAACGAGGCATTCCAGTCCCAGGATTCGCTGATATATTTATGACAAATACTTTAGGTCGATTATATACAGTTCATCCTAAGCAACGCGAATGTTTTTTTTTGCGTTTATTACTGGTTAACGTCCCTGGACCGACGTCCTTCCAATATTTGCGAAAAGTCAATGGTACTTCATACGACTCTTTCTTCGATGCGTGTCGTGAGTTACATTTATTGGAGGATGATAACCATTGGGATCTCACACTTGCAGATGCAGCACTGAGCTCATCTCCACAACAAATTCGTCAATTATTTTCAATAATATTGACAATGTGTTTTCCGTCTGATGTATCTGCTCTGTGGAACAAATATAAAGACTCAATGAGTGAGGATATTTTGCATCGGACTAGAATTACTAATGAAAATCTTAATATTGAATTCTCCGCCGAAATATACAACGAGTCATTAATAATGATTGAGGATATTTGTATTCTTATTTCAAACATGCCGCTCATCCATTTTGGAATGCCAGCGCCGAATCGCCCAGCAGTAGACATCATCAACAGCGATGTTCAACGTGAACAGCAGTTCGATAAGACTTCTTTGGCTACTTTTGTTACGGAAAATGAACAATTGCTCACTGCTGAACAACGAAATGTATATGATCAAATTAACGTTTCAATTGCAGCACAACAAGGTGGATTCTTTTTTTTAGACGCTCCAGGTGGCACTGGTAAAACATTTCTTATCGCACTGATACTTGCGCGGATTCGATCTCAAAATCATATTGCATTGGCCATTGCTTCATCAGGCATTGCAGCAACGTTACTTGATGGTGGACGGACTGCGCATTCAGCACTTAAATTACCTTTGAACGTTCATACAAATCCCGAAGCAATGTGTAACATAAAGAAGCATTCAGGCATGGCTGAAGTTTTGAGAAAATGTAAAATTATTATCTGGGATGAATGTACAATGGCCCACAAGCATTCGCTTGAAGCTCTCGACAGGTCCCTGAAAGATATCAAAAATAATGCTCGGCTTTTCGGTGGTGCTCTACTGCTGCTGTCTGGTGATTTCAGACAAACATTACCAGTCATTCCACGCGCGACATATGCAGACGAAATAAACGCATGTTTGAAAGAATCTTATCTATGGCCAAGTGTCACTAAATTACGCCTTACTATTAATATGCGCGTTCGACTTCAAAATGATCCATTAGCGTCAGGATTCTCTGAACAATTGTTAGACATTGGCAACGGTGAAATTCAATTGTATGAAGATACACAATATATTCGACTTCCAGAGAATTTTTGCAACATGGTGGCTACCAAAGATGAGTTAATAACAAGTATCTTTCCAGATTTAAGACATAATTATACTAATCATGAATGGCTGCGAGAGCGAGCTATTTTAGCCGCAAAAAATTTAGATGTTGACGCCATCAATTTTAAAATACAACAGTCATTGCCTGGTGATGAAATTACATTTAAATCGATTGACACTGTTGTTGATCCTGACGAAGTTGTCAACTATCCTGTAGAGTTTCTAAATTCACTAGATTTACCTGGAATGCCACCACATAATTTGCGACTGAAAATTGGCTCACCTATAATTTTGCTTCGAAATTTAAATGCCCCAAAATTGTGTAATGGCACGCGATTAGTTGTAAAAAAAATCATGGGCAACATTCTTGAAGCCACTATCTTGAGTGGAAAATTTCGAGGTGAAGTTGTACTTTTACCACGGATCCCAATGATTCCTTCAGATTCGCCTATACCATTCAAACGTTTACAATTTCCAATCCGCTTGGCATATGCTATGACCATAAATAAATCACAAGGCCAAACAATGACAATTTGTGGCTTAGATTTAGAAAACCCATGTTTTTCTCACGGCCAATTATATGTTGCGTGTTCCAGAGTTGGAAAACCATCGAATTTATTTATTTATACACCTCAGGGTTTAACCAAAAATATTGTACATCCAATGGCATTACGATAAATAAAGTTTTTGTAAATAAAAAAATTTATTTTTTAAATAAAATAGTTTGAGTGTAAACTTTTTTACCTTTAATTAAAACAAGTTGAAGATTTAATCATTACACATACTCACACGCTATCGATTAGTCTAATTGTAATAAATTTACATGTAATGACGTTAGATATTGTCATAACATTTGAATAATAATTTTCATCAAAATGGTCCAGAATGTTTTAGCTTATTAAAAAAAGTTTGAAATTTTCAAATTAAAGACGTGTACACAGGACAACGTCTGTCGGGTCCGCTATGTATTATATATGTAAACTAACGTTTATAAAATCTAATAAACTTACAGTATATTGGCAAATGGGCAATAATTAATGAAACGTTATTTTTTGAATGTAAAATTTTATTTTTAAATATACACTATATTGGCAATAAATCCTATTCCATACGAGCGGAGTCCGTAGGAGCGGAGCCCGTGGCTGCGGAATCCGCTGCGGAGACCGTAGGAGCGGAGTCCGTGGCTGGGGAATCCGTAGGAGCGGAGTCCGTGGCTACGGAATCCGTAGCTGGGGCTGCTGGGGAGTCCGTAGGAGCGTCGTCGGGCAAGGGCAGTTGCGCCATCACAATGTCAAGGTCGTCGTCGTCGTGCAACGAAAAGGAGACAGATGTCGACAATGTCGGCGAAGAAGTGGCCAAAGGTGAAAACTGATGAACGCAAACTTCATCACCGTCTACGTCTACCTTGCGTTGTTTCCGCTTTTGGATGGCTTCCCTTCTCTTGCTATCAATATTCGCTGCAAGTGTCGCGGCTCTTTGCACTCTCACTGATCGGCTCCTTTCCACTGTGTGGCCACAAATTTCGCAATACCGAGTTAGGGCGCAAATATATGTAGTGCAAACCGAGCATCTTAATACTGTCGTTTTTGTTGCTTCATGTGCTTGGATAAAAGGCATTGTTTTGCATTTGCTGCAACTATCTGTAAAAATTTATTATATATATATTGGATTTAAACACGATTGTATATTAAACTAACCCAATGCACAATCAAATTGCACTTGGCGTCTTGCGCCACAAAACCCACAGAAACGATCCATTTTATTACAAACTCTTATAACCTCACTGTACACTCTTCAGTTGAAGACTAACAAATAACAGAACCTTGGGAGTGATGGGACGTTTATGAGTCGACATCCGGCTTAAGGGTACAACCCTCCCTTCAACCACCTCAAGTGCAACTGTCCGTTTTAAAAATAGAACAGGTAGACGATCTCCGTTCTGAGTTTCGCTGTAACAACTTATATATTTTCTGTCCACAATAGCAATTACTAGAAATAATTAATATGGCAAAACAACGTTTGCCGGGTCAGCTAGTATATATATATATTGTTGTGAGACCTAAACTTCACTTCTAGGAATCCCACGATTTACCTCTAGCTAGCTCAGTTATAATTAAAAAAACCAAATTTTCACACGCATCTCAAGGTCCAGCTGGATTCTGCCACCCTACAGCATTCCAACAATGACATGAATTAGTGGCTTAATCAAATCCTTAAATTCCAATACGAAACTTTACCCCCAGATTTGAATAAACTTGAAACAAAGTAAGAGACGCCGACAATTACATCTCTTTGACTCTAATAAACAAAACCTGGATTGCAATGACTGGTTTAATTTCAGGCAAAAAATTGCGTAAATTTCTGTTTTACAAATTGTTACAATTTTAAACAGATAAATGACACACAAAAAAAACACAAATTACTCAAACATTACAAACATGACAAAACAAAAAAAACAAACCACTAACTACTACTTACTTTTAAATTTGTCCGAGTAACGTACTCTGATACAAAGAGGTATCCGTACACGATAACAACACAAAATTTTCACACAAACCAAACACTCAAACACCGACGTCTTCTCTCTTCGGGTACCCAAAATTATTTTCAAACTTCCGTGCTTCCGCAAAAAAAAAGGACGGCGACAAACTTCTTAAACTTTTCAAAATTCTTCTTAACGGCAAACAAAATTCTGATTAACACTGGATCCACTACGCAGGAAACTTCCACAAAATTCAAAATAACGTAACCGAAGAACCGCCGGTTGGCTTTGTAACGACTAAAAAGCCCCGCTCTCTTCAAAAATTTGCTATTTAAGCAAAAAGCCCTTCTCCTTTCTTCAACATCCCGCCAGCCAATCACGCGAAGCGTCGATTTTAAACTTCTTGCTAAACGGCACGTACGCCCGGCAATTCTGCGAAAACAACCTTATCTCTACTTCGCGCTACACCTCGTTAACGGCAAATAAAATTTAAAAAAAAATTTACCTCGAAAAAATTCTAGGAATAAAATAAAAATGAACACTTCTAAGAAATTGAACCAACACTATAACATGAAATTTACGCAATCCTGTGTCTCAAATTAATAACCCCCCCGGTTAATTAATTGAACTTAAACAAAATTGTCACATCCAGACGCTCTATAATTTCTTTCAAGTTACAACTAAAACAAAAATAACACAACAATATATATATATATATATATATATATATATATTTATTTATTTATTTATTTATATATATAGCCAATCATGTATGGAATATAGTATACAGCCTGTTTCACGCAAACCGTTACTTAAAAGTATTCATAACTGTCATTGATCTTGATCTCAACCAAAAGAAAGTGACACAAAATTTAGACCCTACTCGGGAAATAAAATTGTTTGGTCCCATTTCTCTCAAAATTTGTGAATAAAGAAAGATCTTGCTTTACCAACCTAATCTTGACTTCAACCAAAAAGAGATGACATAAAATTCAGACACCTACTTGGAGACGTTCACTAATTAGGACCCTGTTAAGACTAATGGACTGTACTTATTGTTCATTCTAAACAACATTTAAGAATCAATTATCGAGATATACTTCTAATGTAGATAGCTACCTGGAGACGTTTCGGTCAATTCTCCTTTCGGGTAATTGTTCTTTGGGCAACTGTTTTCGGAGAATTGTCTTTCGGGCAATTGTCCGGGAAGGGAGAGTTCGAATATATACGTTTTGGTTGTTTTAATGTATAAGTCTTCCGTGGACGATGAAAATTATGTGTACGTTCAAAATATACTATATATCGACCAAATAATACTATTTTAGCGAAAGGAATATATTTTATTTCATACTATCTAGTAATCGCCGCTTTCCCAGACCCATTTGAGTCTGGTAAATCGTATTTTACCAGACTGGAAATGTTGCCTAGCAACATCAACTGACATCCATATAAACCTATATATTAATGTGTCAAACTACTGTCAGATCAAACAAATCAAGTGATCCACTTTTGCTTTCATTTGAATGTGTACAACATTCTAATCAAAAATTGTATGGCATTTTAATAAAAAAAGAGCAGTATGAAATAAAATGTTTTACATTATTTGTATGTTAAATCAGTTAACGTTACTCGTTTCGAAATTGCTGCCTCAGCTACGCTTCGGCAGTAAACATCTCACTCGTTAACGTAAACCTTGATTTACCATACTCATATGTAAATAACTATTATTTCATGCCGCTTTCCCAGACCCATTTGGGTCTGGTAAATCGGATTTTACCAGACTGGAAATGTTGCCTAGCAACATCAACTGACATCCATCTAAACCATGTGTCAAACTACTCTCAGATCACACAAATCAAGTGATCGACTTCTGCTTTCATTTGAATGCGTACAACATTCCAATCATAAATTGTATGACATTTTAATAAAAAAAAGAGCGGTATGAAATAAGATGTTTTACATTATTTGTATGTTAAATCAGTTAACGTTACTCGTTTCGAAATTCCTGCCTCGGCAGTCAACATCTCACTCGTTAACGTAAACCTTGATTTACCATACTCATATGTAAATAACTATTATTTCATGCCGCTTTCCCAGACCCATTTGGGTCTGGTAAATCGGATTTTACCAGACTGGAAATGTTGCCTAGCAACATCAACTGACATCCATCTAAACCATGTGTCAAACTACTGTCAGATCACACAAATCAAGTGATCGACTTCTGCTTTCATTTGAATGCGTACAACATTCCAATCAAAAATTGTATGACATTTTAATAAAAAAAAAGAGCGGTATGAAATAAGATGTTTTACATTATTTGTATGTTAAATCAGTTAACGTTACTCGTTTCGAAATTCCTGCCTCGGCAGTCAACATCTCACTCGTTAACGTAAACCTTGATTTACCATACTCATATCACCAGGGTACACCTTTTTTACAAAACAATCCGCATCAAGGATTGACATGTTTTTCTGCGATCATGTTTGGCTACAAAAGTTAAAAACTGCTACAAACCTATTGTCATTTTCTGACCATTTGGCCATGGAATTAAAATTTCGAGAAAGGCAAAAGCTTTCATCTCCGTACTGGCGTTTTTACAACCCACTATTAAAGGATAAACTTTACATAACATGCATAAATAATGTCATAGACTACATGATACAACAAAGGCACTCAGAAAACCCATGGGAATGGTGGCTTACTCTGAAAACAGAAATAACAACAGTGACTATTATCTACTGTAAACACAAAAACCAAAATGGATCCCACGACCTAAAACGTTTACAACAACAATACAATACACGAAAGGACAACGCATCACCATCAAACCTATTTACAATTAAAGATATTTTAAACCAATCCGGGAAAATGTACACAACAATGGCAAAAAACGCCCAAATAAGTGACCGTTATATGGAAATTGTAACTGACGATATTCCTGAAAAATCTGACATCATTACAAACAATCAAAGTCAAACTTTACAAAAAATTATAGTCAATGGAGTAGCAATATCAAACCCAATTGATATATGTCGAGAAGTGCGTTCGTTTTTCAGACAAAAACAACACGATAATAACACTTCGTTAAACAAAGCGTCGTTTCTTTTTTCGGGGATACAGTGATTATCAGATACAGAAAATGAGGAATTAAAACAAGTGATAACACTAGAAGAACTTACCAATGCGTTGAAAAGTTTAAACAAAAAAAATCTCCTGGAATAGATGGTTTAACCGTCGAATTTTATCTACAGTTTTGGGAAAAAATAGGGCAATATTATTACGAAGCAGTCTCAAGTAGTATAAATGGTGCACAAAAAATTCCACAAGTCATTAAAACAGCAGTTACTACGCTAATACTAAAGAAAGATAAGAACCCCTTTGATCTAAAAAATTGGAGACCTATATCGTTACTTACAACGGATTATAAAATCCTTGCAAAGACTATAGCCCAAAGATTGATGAAAGTAGTAGGATCAGTCGTGCAAACCGATCAATCTTACAGTATTCCAGGACGATCTATATATGACAGCCTCCACTTGCACAGAGACATCTTAAATTACACCGACACAGAAAAGAAACAACTGGCAATAATATCCTTAGACTTAGAAAGCGCGTTTGACAACATTTACCATAGATATTTATTTCATGTTCTCGACAAAACTAATTTCCCTGCGCATTTAAAAAATGTAATAATCGAATTATACACGGAGGCAAAATCATTCGTTCGAGTTCGTCATCTTTTAACAAGTGCAATTAAGGTAGAGAAAGGGATACGACAAGGGTGTCCCTTATCTGGACCATTATTCTCGTTGGCACTGGAACCTTTGTTAGGGCTAATCAGAAATAAAATAGGAGGATTCCTGCTACCACCCGTGAGACAAGAGAAGGTTACCATAGCCGCATACGCAGATGATATTTCCATATTCATAACGGAGAACAAAGACTTCGAAACAGTTGGTCACTGTTTAGAAATATTTACAAGAGAATCCGGTGCGAAAATAAATTTTTCTAAATCCAAAGGTTTGTGGGGCGGCAAATGGGAACACAGAAAGGATACTCCGCTGGAATGTACCTGGACATCTCATTCCTTAAAAGTGTTAGGTGTAACTCTCAGTCCTAAAGAAACAGGATCCAACACAATAACCGAAGAAGATTTGAAACAGAAAGTTCGCAATGCGTTGGATAAATGGAAATTCCGAGCTAGTGCACTATCTTTGAGAGGTCGTATAAGAATAGTAAATGCTTTCATAGCACCCAAAATGTGGCATACGTTACAAATACTAGCAATAAAAGATCAAGCACTAGAAGAGATCCAAAACATGCTCATAGACTTCGCATGGCGAAACAGGAAACATTGGACCGACAAAAAGACCCTCACACTACCAATTTGGCAAGGCGGAATGGGGATGGTAAATATAAGAACCAAAGTCAATATGTTTCGAGTCTTCACGGTACTGAAATATTTCAGCTCCTACGGAGCACACTGGACGAAAATGATCGACTATAATTTCATAAAAAGCAACAATAGTGACCTGTCATGGCAAT